AAGATGCAAAGAGACACACAACAGCTACAGAAACAATGCAAATAGACACAAAAGACAGATTTAAAAAGAAGCAAAGAAACACACAACAGCTCGACAAAGATGGAGGGAGATACACAGCAGCTTTACAAAGGTGTAAAGGGACAACAACAAGATACAAAACTACTACACAAAGATGCAAAGAGACACAAAACGGCTACAAAAAGATGCAAAGTGGCTACAAAGAGACACACAACAGGGCGTTGGCGCCAGAGTGGACCAAACCACGTTCACCAGTTTTAGAGAAAAATGGGGTTAAAATTTTGTGTTGCTAAAACCCCATCCTGGTTGTTGGAGGAGTCGTTATGAGCATCCAGAGATGTTCCAACAGCGTCCAGAGACACAAACAGCTGCTCTGTGGCGACTTATTGAAGTTTTAGTTTTGCCAAAGTGGGCCGCACCACATTTTCTACTTTTTGAGACAAAAAACTGATTCCAGGTTCGTCTTCAACAGCATTGAAGAGTTAAGAAGGAACTAGAGATACTTCTGAGGACCGTCGGGTAGAAACAGAAGCTTGGTGGTGGTTAGTTACGGTTTTATTTTACCTCAGCGTACCTACCAGTGGAGCTTGAGGTCGTGCTGTCCGCCATCTTGAATTGCAAACACTATCAACTACCTGCGATATAACATCAGCAGCTCCTGTAGCTTGGTCCAGTTTGCTGCTAAATGTTCATGCCAAAACCATCATGGGCCAAACTTCACAGTGGCATCGTGACGTTACCAGTGGGCCGCTGGTTGGAGCACTTTGCCACCAACTAGTCGACCAGAAACACTTATCATAAAAACATAAAACTCAACTTTGGGTTTTTTGTGGTTTAGTTCACTTTGGCACTGAACCCCACAACTTTAGAGAGATTCAAGAGACACAAAATGGCTACACAAAGATGCAAAGAGACAAACAACAGCTATGAAGAGACTCAAAGAGACACACAACACCTACAAAAGGATGCAAAGTGACGACAAAGACACACAAAACTAACAGAAGAGACACACGCCCCCAACAGAATGATGCCAGCAAAAATAAAATAAACCAAGCATCTCTTCCTCCTTCTGTTCTGGTTGTGTCTTTCTGTCTCTCCATATTTGTGTGTATATCTGCTTGTGTGTCTGTGTGTGTGTCTGTGTGTGTTGCTCACGTTGTGGGGACGTAAATCCGTCACACTGTGTTGCCCGGACTTATCAAAGAGTTTTGATCAACACTTGGTTTAATGTGAGTCCTGTGAAGTGATGCAAACACTGAGTGTGTGTGTTTTGTGTTGCTCATGTTGTGGAAACACGGCTGTGTGTGTGTGTGTGTGTGTGTGTGTGTGTGTGTGTGTGTAGGCGTGTTCCTATCAACACGCTCCGACACGCTCTGCTGCTACAGTAACACACACCCGAACACGTCGCTCTGCTGTTTCTGCTTTTTCTTCTCGGACTGCAGAAGTTCCTTTGACCTCTGACCAACAGACAAACAGCGGGGCTCCGTGAACAGCCAATAGGAGAGGAGGATATGCATGACATCACGTGACATCATCTGCTCTATATAAGACTAAGGACTAATTATAAGCACATGATATTTCAGTTCACGCAGATCTGTTCTCATTATTTCTAATCATTTAATTTGACCTGTAAAAACATGACACCAAACAACCATGAACAGTCTCTGACTGTGTCATCTGCAAAGAAATGGACATTAAAATACTGAGCAGGAAGGATGATAATATATAAAAAAGCAGTGGGCGGAGACTAGAGCCCTGTGGAACTCCATTACTAAAAATTCTTGGGTATCAATTATTTAGAAATTTTCCTGTTTTTTCTGAACAAAACCTCCAAGACTGGCATTTTTTGACTAAAAAATAGACATTAGAAGTTTTCATTTGGGCTACATGAAATAAACATGTTATTTTATTCATAATTTTTGGACATTAATGCTTCAAGAAAAACACTGAAAATATTTTTCAGATCTACTGATAGTACAATAATTGTTACCTGTGTTTAACTAGATGCTGCATTGTGTTCTGTTCCTGCTGGATTGAATGTTATTTCATATATGCTGTAAATAAAAGTGGACCAAGAATAGAGCCCAGTGGTACTCCGTTACTAAAACTTTGCTATCTCTTTGGTCATTTCCTGTTTTTCTGTGACCAGAAACTTGACATTTTGTGTTTTAGGTATTGGTCAGCAAGAAACATTTTAACATCTTCATTTGGACTTTAGGGAATAATGGTGTTGACTTTTTAAAAACATTTTTGGACATTTTGTTCTCTAAGTATGGAGTCATTTGTCAATGAAAATAGTCGCCTGATGTGTTGATAATAAAAAACTGTTTGATAATTGGAACCTTAAAATAATTTCTGCATTGTGTTCTTTTGTTTTTAGATTTATCGTTAATGTGTTTGACGCAAATAGCAAAATGGCCCGAGAACTGAGCCCTGCTGCACTCCATTACTAAAAAATGATCTGGTATCAGCTCGTCAAATGTGAATATTTGGTCGTTTCGTATAACTATTGTAAACTTAATTAAATTTGTTCTTGCTTTGTGTTCTGTCGTATCTGGATTTAATGTTATAACTGTATGATGTAAACTGTAGTGGACCGAGACTGGAGCCCTGTGGAACTCCATCACTAAAACATTTCTGGTTTCAGCTTGTCAAATGTGAATGTTTGGTCATTTCCTGTTTTTCTGGAATCCTCATCACAAAATGAGGCCAATCTTTTACTGTCTGATCAGACAAAGAAAAACATTTGAATATCTTAAATAGGACTTCAGGGAATGTTAAAGTTAATTTTAAACAATAAAATCTTGTCTCTTATTCAAGAAAAATAATCGTCAGATGTATTGGTTTGGAATGTTTTCACTCAAATATAATGATTAAAATTAAAATTTATTTCTTAATATTTTACAGCTGATTTCTGATGGACTGATGGCGTCATAAGTATCTGTAATTTGTTTTTAATTTAATTTTATTTCTAACAGCCGAGTTGACCTTTACTGTAACTTTTTTTTTTTCAGTACAAACACAGTAAAAGGTGTTTCTACTCTGCAGGAAGCGGGAAGCAGCTGAGCGCGAGGCTGAAACGTCACAGTAAAAAAAAAAGGACCTGTGACATAGTAAATACGGGCCGCCTTCAAAATAAAACCTGAAATATTTGAACATTGCTGAAACAGTGACAGTGAAACAGGAAGATGACACGTCAACTGAACATGAAGTAGACGTTGACAGCTAAAGTATGAAAGATT